TTGCCATCATCAGTGTGTGAATGTGAGTGTGAATGGGTGAATGTCTGTTAGTGTAAAGCGCTTTGGGGGTCCGGAGGGACTTGAAAAGCTCTCTTTAAGTTCAGTACCATTTACCATTTACCATTACCGCCTCAATCCTACAGACACGTCTTCCCATGAGGAAGCAGAGCCTGATGACCCTGAGTCGGACTCTCCAATCTCTGGTGCCGAGGTCACCGAGGTGGTTAAAAAGCTCCTCAGTGGCAAGACGCGGGGGGTGGATGAGATTCGCCCGGAGTTCCTAAGTGCTCTGGATGTTGTGGGGTTGCATTGGTTAACACGACACTACAATATTGCATGGACATCAGGGGCAGTTCCCCTGGATTGGCAGACCGGGGCGGTGGTCCCTCTATTTAAAAAGGGGGACCGCAGAGTGTATTCCAACCATAGGGGGATCACACTTCTGAGCCTCCCTGGTAAGGTCTATTCAGGGGTCCTGGAGAGGAGGGTCCATTGGATAGTCTAATCTTGGATTCAGGAAGAGCAGTCTTGCTTTTGTCACAGTCGTGGAGCAGCAGACCAGCTCTACACCCTGAGCAGGGTCCTGGAGTTCACCCAACCAGTCTACATGTGTTTGTGAACTCGGAGAAGGTGTTTGACCGTGTCCCTCGAAGACTCCTGTGGGGGGTACTCCGAGAGTATGGGGTACCAGGCCCATTTATATGGGCTGTTAGGTCCCTGTACGACCGGCACAGGGTCATGTTCTTGAGCCGGAAAACGGTAGCGTGTCGCCTCTGGGTCGCGGAGGAGGTCCTGCCACAAGTGGAGGAGTTTAAGTATCTCAGGGTCTTGTTCATGAATGAGGGAAGAATGGAGCAGGAGATCAACATGAGGATTGGTGCTGCATCTGCAGTGATGCGGGCGTTGTACTGGTCTGTCGTGGTGAAGAGAGAGCTGAACCAGACGGCGAAGCGCTCGATTTACCAATCGGTCTATGTTCCTATCTTCATCTATGGTCACGAGCTTTGGGTAGTGAATTACTTTCATTTTTGCTTCTACTTTTAATTTAAAATAAGTTTCCATTCTCAGCAGGTTTCTAAGGTTCTTCTTCTACATATTAAAAAGTTGTTAAACATCTGAATGGTGCACTACTGCTACTAGTGGTGAGAAAGTGTATTGCACCTTATTCAAAATCAGTGCGGTCCCACGGCCCTCTGTGGCCCAAAGTTAAAAACTGTTGTTCTTTTGAGGCCCTCAAGGTGGCGCTCGTGGGCCACGGCCCACAGGTTAAGAATCTCTGC